AAGGCCGAACCGCCTCGCCTCCAATGGACCAATTGCGACAGCGTCGAAGAACAGATCGCTCACCTTCAGGAAGCTGTGCGCAAGACAATTCTTCCAAAAGCAGAATGGGAATCGATTTCTGAGGACATCTAAACGATGGCATCCGGCGTAGTCCGTTTCTGGCCTATTCCTTTTGCAGATGTTTTTCTCATTTTCATGTTCCATAATTCGTCAATTCTCAATCCTTTCCAACACATATCAGCCATTCTTTCGCTTACATTTATGATTTCCAAATTCCTTCTTCATCACACCATAAGCCTCTACAAATCTGTATCACTTGGTCATTCTCACACTTGATTTTCGTTATTCCACACATAAGTACAGTACTTCCGCCTTTCAAAAGTCAATTCGGTGGATGGTCTTCACCTGCTTGAATACCTGTACCTTGGTTGAACTGGTAAAGTAACGCCCCACAATTCAATTGGGATACAGGAAGCCATTCTGGATCGTCATAATTCTTCCATTTGACAAGGTACTCCTTACGCCTTTTGGATGTCCAAATTTTCTTAGACCATCTGAAATCTAAAATATTTTCCACCTTGTACTCATCCTTTTGGGCATCGGCTTCCCAACTGTCTTCTGGGAGTAATGCAGCATCAAAATCGTCTTCTTCATCCACATCCACACTAACTGTCGGTCTCTTAGGAAACAAAGCTCTTTGATTCAGACGACTGATATGAACCCACGGATTGACTCGGTAACCGGTACTGTCAACTTTCAGCTTCACCCTGAAATCATCTAACACTTCATCAATTCGAAAATGCCAATGCCATAGGTGCGCCAGCTTCTTGCTTAGTCCAGTCTGTACCTTCGGGATATATAACCACACGGCATCCCCTTTCCGAAAGCCTGATCTCAGACGTTCGGATAACTCCTTCCATTTTTGTGTTTGAAGATCGGAACGATGTCGTCAGGCTTTGTTCTGCAAGTCCTCGGCACACGCTTTCGCGTAGCTATCGTCTCTCTGAACGTTTCGTCCGCACTCATAAGCAGTCCTTTCGGGTACACTTGATGGTGTCGGACCCAACATCGCTTTCAAAGTACTTTGTGGGTCCCAACCGTGCATCAAGTAGAATGGGGATCTAAACGTGTCGCGTCGAACGAGGTGTTTAAAGCAAACATCAGCCTTTCCGCTTGATCCTCCCAGTCACTCTGGTCGGCTTGCTCGATATAGGCACGAATACTCCTGACAACCGTTTGGACAGATCGTTCCTGTTATCCATTTGCTTGAGGTCGGCATCCCAAACTGGCTCTCTGACGACAATTCAGGAGTTCCCGAAAACGAGTAAACACTTCGCTCATAAAACGGGGGTCTTGATCGTGCCGAATCATTGAATCATGCCGGATCATCGAACTTGCTCCGAAGTTCCGGAATACTCGTTCTTCATACGCCTCTGCAACGTCCTGAGCGGTGGTTGAGTTCATCGGCTTGCACATCACATTACCCGAAAACATATCCTGGAATAGTAGCAAAAACGTATTTCCTCGGTCAGACTTTGGCATATGCGTCACAAAGTCCATCGAAACCACTTCGAAAGGTTGTCGGGGTTCGATATTCCCGGGCGATGGTCCGGCGTTTGGAGGTTTCCCTTTTCCACTCGCGCAATCAACACACTCCTTCACAAAGTGTTCAACATCCGCGTACATCCCAGGCCAATAGAACCTCTTATGCGTCCTGGTGATGCCTTGGTGGCCTCCTTGAAAGTCTTCGTGGCCATAATGTAAGACATCATCCCTGAGAGCTTTTGGAACAACGAGTCGAGGTTCATCCTGAAAGTCGCGAGGGCGATCGCGAGTTGAGCGAGCTAGTCGATACAACACATCTCTAGTGTCCAGTACGAATAGATCGGCAACCTTGGTGACCTTCTTCAGTCTCCGGGGTGAAAACTTCTCGAAGTTCTCCTTCAGAAAATCTTTGATCTCCGACAGGTACTCATCTGCGTCCTGATGCACTCGGATACGTCGCCATCGTTCAGCTTGGAATTCCAAAGGGTCCATAGGTCGGTTTCTCGAAGTGGATTCGACTTGGCTTCTGGAACGCCTTACTACTGCGAGCACGCGGGCTGATTTTGTCAGTGGAGCTGACTCCGCAGTAGGCGGTGCAACGTTCCTTGACAGTGTTTCTCCAGAAGTCGGATCAACACCAGAGTTCAACTCGGAGTCTTCCACTTTCATGAGTTTCCCAATCTTTGATACGTGCTCTAAATGCGCGATTTCGGCCGTGTCCGTAACGTCCCATGACTCATCCAGAATCAAAGTCTTCGTGGTCAGATAATCAGCAGCCTGATTGTATTCCCGCTTCAGATGTACCAGGCGTAGCGATCCGAACTTCTCTTTCAATAGCTCAACTTTGGCAAGATGCGTTTGGAGATGTGGTTGATTGCAATTGATCAGTCCTTGAACCTGTTGAATAACTATTCGAGAATCTCCGACTGCGACCAAATTTTGTAACTTCATCTCGATGGCCATATCGAGCCCTTTGATAAGTATATGGTACTCGGTATCGTTTACCGTGACATTTTCTAACAGAAAACCTTTCGATTTTTAGAACCTTCCAACCG